ATAATAGCAATCCAGGCCTTTTTGAAGAAGGAAGAACAATCCCAAATGAATAGTCTAAAGTCACAATTACTGAAACTGGGAAAAGAACAATTGAGGCTCAAAGTCAGCAGAAGGAGGGACATGATAAAGATCAGAGAAGAAATAAATAAAATAGAGAAGAATAAAACAATAGAAAAAGTCAGTGAAACCAAGAGCTGCTGCTTTGAGAAAATACACAAAATAGATAAGCCCCTAGCTAGACTAAATTAAGAGAAAAAGAGAATCTACACACATCAACAGAATCAGAAATGAGAAAGGAAAAAATCACAATAGACCCCACAGAAATACAAAGAATTAATAGAGAAGACTATGAAAATCTATATGCTAACAAGCTGGAAAACCTAGAAGAAATGGACAACTTCCTAGAAAAATACAACCTTCCAAGACTGACCAGGGAAGAAACAGAAAATCTAATTACCAGCAATGAAATTGAATCGATAATCAAAAAACTACCCAGGAACAAAACCCCCAGGCCAGATGGATTTACCTCAGAATTTTATCAGTCATACAGAGAAGACATAATACCCATTCTCCTTAAAGTTTTCCAAAAAATAGAAGAGGAGGGAATACTCCCAAACTCATTCTATGAAGCCAACATCACCCTAATACCAAAACCAGGCAAAGACCCCACCAAAAAAGAAAATTACAGACCAATATCCCTGATGAATGTAGATGCAAAAATACTCAATAAAATATTAGCAAACAGAATTCAACAGTGTATCAAAAGGATCATACACCATGATCAAGTGAGTTTCATCTCAGGGATGCAAAATGGTACAGCATTTGAAAATCCATCAACATCATCACCACATCAACAAAAAGGTCAAAAACCACATGATCATCTCCATAGACACTGAAAAAGCATTCGCCAAAATTCAACATCCATTCGTGATAAAAACTCTCAACAAAATGGGTATAGAGGGCAAGTACCTCAACATAATAAAGGCCATATATGACAAACCCACAGCCAACATCATACCAAACAACAAGAAGCTGAAAGCTTTTCCTCTGAGATTGGCAACAAGACGGGGTTGCCCACTCTCCACACTGTTATTCAACATAGTACTGGAGGTCCTAGCCATGGCAATCAGACAACACAAAGAAATAAAAGGCACCCAGATTGGTAAAGAAGAAGTCAAACTGTCACTATTTGCAGATGACATGATACTGTACATAAAAAAACCCTAACAACTCCACTCCAGAACTAATATCTCAATTCAGCAAACTTTCAGGATACAAAATTAATACACAGAAATCTGCTGCATTTCTATACACTGATGATGAACTAGGAGAAAGAGAAATCAGGAAAACAATGCCATTCACAATTGCATCAAAAAGAATAAAATACCTAGGAATAAATCTAACCAAGGAAGTGAAAGAACTATACCCTGAAAACTACAAGAGTTTAAGAGAAATTAAACAGGACACTAACAAATGGAAACTCATCCAATGCTCTTGGCTAGGAAGAATTAATATTGTCAAAATGGCCATCCTGCCTAAGGCAATCTACAAATTCAATGCAATCCCTATCAAAATACCAATAGCATTCTTCAACGAACTGGAACAAATAGTTTTAAAATTCATATGGAACCAAAAAAGACCCTGACTAGCCAAAGCAATCCTGAGAAGGAAGAATAAAGCAGGGGGGATCTCGCTTCCCAACTTCAAGCTCTACTACAAAGCCACAGTAATCAAGACAATTTGGTACTGGCACAAAAACAGAGCCACAGACCAGTGGAACAGAATAGAGGGTCCAGATATTAACCCAAACATATGTGGTCAATTAATATATGATCAAGGAGCCGTGGACATACAATGTGGAAATGACAGCCTCTTCAATAGCTGGTGTTGGCAAAACTGGACAGCTACATATAAGAGAAGGAAACTGTATCATTGTCTAACCCCATACACAAAAGTAAATTCAAAATGGATCAAAGACCTGAATGTGAGTCATGAAACCATAAAACTCTTAGGAGAAAACATAGGCAAAAATCTCTTGGACATAAACATGAGTGACTTCTTCATGAACATATCTCCCTGGGTAAAGGAAACAAGCAAAAATAAACAAGTGAGACTATATCAAGCTAAAAAGCTTCTGTACAGCAAAGGACACCATCAATAGAACAAAAAGGTACCCTACAGTATGTGAGAATATATTCATAAATGACAGATCCAATAAAGGGTTGACATCCAAAATATATAAAGAGCTCATGCACCTCAACAAACAAAAAGCAAATAACCCAGTTAAAAAATTGGCAGAGGAGCTGAACAGACTGTTCTCCAAAGAAGAAATTCAGGTGCCCCACAGACAGAATGAAAGATGGTCCACATCGCTAGTCATCAGAGAAATGCAAATGAAAACCACAATGAGATATCACCTCACACCATTAAGGATCGCCACCATCCAAAAGACAAACAACAACACATGTTGGTGAGGTTGTGGAGAAAGGGGAACCCTCCTACACTGCTGGTGCGAATGTAAATTAGTTCAACCATTGTGGAAAACAGTATGGAGGTTCCTCAAAAAACTAAAAATAGAAATACCATTTGACCTAGGAATTCCAGTCCTAGGAATTTACCCTTAGAATGCAGCAGCCCAGTTTGAAAAAGAAATATGCACCCCTATGTTTATCGCAGCACTATTTACAATAGCCAAGATATGGAAGCAACCCAAGTGTCCATCAGTAGATGAATGGATAAAGAAGCTGTGATACATATACACAATGCAATATTATTTAGCAGTAAGAAGAAAACAAATCCTACCATTTGCTACAACATGGATGGAGGTAGAGGATATTATGCTCAGTGAAATAAGCCAGGCAGAAAAAGACAAATACCAAATGATTTCACTCATCTGTGGAGTATAAGAACAGAGAAAAAACTGAAGGAACAAAACAGCAGCAGACTCACAGAACCCAAGAATGGACTAACAGGTACTAAAGGGAAAAGGACTGGGCAGTAGGGGTGGGAAGGGAGGGGATAAGGGGAAAAAGGGACATTACTATTAGCAGACATAATGTAGCAGGAGGGGGTGGCGCACGGGGAGGGCTGTACAACACAGAGAAGACAAGTAGTGATTCTATAGCATTTCACTACCCTAATGTACAGTGACTGTAATGGTGTATGTGGGGTTGACCTGGTGATGGGCAGAGTCTAGTAAACATAATGTTCCTCATGTAATTGTAGATTAATGATACAAATAAAAAAAAAGAGCATTGGTTGGAATTTGGTTAAGTCTGTGGTAGTCTACAGTCATTCTTTAGGCTCCATCTGCTTTCTGTCGGTGATATATAACAGTGACTGTCACCCGTGCATATTTTAAGTCTTTACTGATGGCACTACTCCTGCTCCTCTTTGTCCCTGTGGAAGCACAATTGTGCTGTAAATCTTATATACTTCCAGTTAGCATAACCCCCACAGTATATAAATTCAAAAGAAAACATGGTGAGTGTCAAAGACTATTCAGTTGCTCTGCGGGCTTAAGTAAGCCCACCAGAAGCTAGACTTTTGCCATACCTCTCTTTATTACCAGAATTCAGAAAGTTTGGGTAGGAGGTAGGTTCTTTGCCTCACAGAACCTTGATTGCGATCATACTCTTTATTCCGTTTAGCTGGTAGCTGCACTGGTCTAAGAAGACGTCACTTAGGTCCCTGGCACTGCGGTGCTGCTCCAGGTGCCTTTCTCTTTCCGTGAGAGTGGCTTGGGCTTCTTCACATTGGTGGTCTCAGGATACTTGAATCTTAGAAGTGGCACAGCCTGCAACATTCCTTTGGTCCAAACAAATTACAAGATCTACCCAAATCCATGGGGAGGGCACATAGATTCCATTTTGCAGTGGAAGAGTGAGTAAGGACTATTGCAAAAGATAGTATTGAAGAAGAAATAACATTGTAGCCATCCTTGGAAATACAGCTTATATCACTACTCCACCTGCTATCTTCCAGAATTTTATAGACCTTTCTCATTTACTGTGGTTTCTTTATTTAATTTATTCATCCTTTTTTTTAATACTTAAATATTTTTCACTCTCACTTTAGTGTAGATATAGAGCAAGATATGTGTGGCAATTGAATCCATTGTAGTTAACAGGCAGTTGTAATCTTTGGAGTCAAGGATTATTGCTGTTTTTCTTAGTGGTTCCATGTTTTCTTAATGACCTTTGGAAAACAAGATGTCTTAGGTGTCTTTTCTTTTTCCTGTGCTATCTCATAATTACTACCAATAGGATATCAGAGTGGGAAGGGGGACAATCTGCCCTCGTATGAAGACATTCCTTATAAGAGAATAAAGAGGTACATTTAATAGAATTTAACCTTGTTTACAATCACCTTGCACCAACATTTTACATAAGTCAATGCTATTAGTTAGCTGAGGTTTTACTATATTATCTTGAGGTAAAATACCTTCTTAACTGAATGAGAGCTAGAGAAAAGTTCTCTACCTCTTCACTGAGTGAACAATAGCATTGTCCCATTGGACTACTTTTTTGTTTAGGGGTAGATTAGTATCACTTAGAGTCTCTGCTGAAGGAGATTTTTTAGGAAGTCCTATTTTAAGAGGCGTATTGACAAACTGGGTCTTCTCCAGAGGTGGTCAGCCAGGGTGTTTAATCATCTGAACCCTGCAAAAACTGAGACTACATGATCTGGTGAAGGAAGCAAATAAATAATGAGACTTAAAAGATGATATGGTAACTGTTCAAATGCCTGGAGGTCACTGGAGCAGTACATCTGTTTAGAAATAAAATAATACTTCAGTGTGAAAAAATGTTTTCATTTTTGGCACTGTGTAGGGGGAGCTCTTCTTGATCTTTATAGATTTCTTACAATTCAGAGATTTTTTTTTGACTCTTCATAGTTAACAGTTCTATCATAAATAATTGTTTGCTTAGAATTATGGGGTGTCATATATTTTGGTAAGTATATTTAAAAAATAATCTATGATCTTTTCTATTCTACAGGACTTAAATACTATTTATTCTTATCTTCATGGAATGGAAATATTATCAAATCTCAGGGAGCATCAGCTTAGGTAAGTGTGATGGTATGTTTAGGAGCATGTACTGTGGGGTTAGTCAAGTGATTTCAGATAGGTAATTACAGGACCAAAGCATTAGGGGCTCTTTGTAGGATAAGTGTGAGAATAAGGATGAGAATGCACATTTCTCATCCCAGTTGGTACCTTTAGTAAGTCTTGTTATCTAAGTTGCAGTTTTGTGTTTCATAAAAACTGAGGTAATAAGAGTATCTTTGTTAAGAGTATTCTGAGAATTAAATGAAACTATGTAAAGCAAAACAGTACTCAGTGTGTGCTAGCCAGTGAAGACAAAACCGTTTTCTTTTTGCAGTTCTGATATTTACTATGTCAAACGCTGAAGATAGGCATGGTATGATGAAGTAGAAGGAACAGGACTCTTGATTTGATATAAGCTCCATGGACAAGACCCAGAAACTTTCTGAACCTCATTTTCCTGTTCTGTAAAATGAATTTTGTTTCCTGCTACCTTATGTCATTGTGATTATGTTTGTAGAAACACTTTTGAGTGCTGTAAAACACTGAACTGTTGTAACTTTGCCTGACATTTTAATTAAAATGTGTTTTCCTTCCATGACCAACTTACTGTCACTTTTTCTGGCCGTTCTTTAGATTTCTGGTTATGGATCACACTTGACTAAAATATAATTTGAGATTTATTGTTTTCTGTTTTCTGTAGAACGTAATGTAGATGTTAGCATGTAAGTATATCAGGTCAAAAAAGTATATCAAGAAGAAAGAAGTGGCATTAGTAATACTAAAAGTATTTTTTAAATACAAGGAAATTTATTCGACAGATTTTGTGTTTGTATATCTGCCAGTAACTATTCTTCACACAAGGGTTCAGTAGTGGGTCAAACGTATATTTTTTCATTATAAAAAATGAGCATTATTTAGTGTGAATTGACAGGTTATAGACTGTACATAAGAGTATTGTACTTGTCATTTAATATTATTCAGTTGCTGTCCCTGAAAATACTATTTCGTTGGCTGTATATGTTTCTAAGCTCCTTACAGTTAGTGAAAAATTTAGTGAGAGATCTGATTATTTTCTGTTTAGATAATTATAACAATTTTTTTAACAAAATCTAAGATAAAATCCTTAAAATTTTGACTTTTTTTATGTTAGATTAATGTCTGCAAAAGCACGCTATGAGAGATACAGTGGCAATCAAATTCTTTTTTGGTAAGTATTTCTATAATTTAAATTAATTGCTTTAATGTTTAAACTGACTTATCATTGTGGTTCATTTGATTCTGAACGGTTTCTGTAGAGCAGATAGAAATATATGTGTAAACTGAAATATACAGCACACAAAAGGTATACAGTGTAACAAAGTTTAATAAATATATACACTGTGTAACTATTACTCATACATTAACATACAGTTAGAACATATCAACTCTCCAGAAGGCTCTAGTCAGTTTTCTTGGAAATGGTAATCCAATTCTGACTTCTATCACCAGAGATTAGTTTTGCTTCTTTTTGAACTTGATATAGATGGTCAGGCTTTTTTTTACTTCACAGGTGTCCCAAGATTCTTCCATGTTGTTGCATTCATTCTTTTTCACTGCTTGATAGTATACAATTGTCTGAAAATAACACAATTTGTTAATCCTTTTCCACTGTTAATTAAATAATGGGTTATTTCCATTTTTTTTTTTTTTACTATTGTGAATAATTAAGTTTCTATGAACATTTTGTTCATTTCTTTTTTGCCTTCATTCCTATTGAATTTTCTTAGGAATTCATTACTGGATATGCACATGCTCAGATTTAGGAGAATCTAACATTAGAATCTAAATGTTATTTCATTTTGTTACCTCATTGTGATTTTCTATTTCCCCGTTAATGAAGATGAATTGTTTTTATGTCTTTATAGGCTATTTGGATAGCTCTTTCATGAATCTCAGTTCAAGTTTTTGGCCATTTTTTAATTTGGATTGTCTTCTGTTGATTTGTAGAAATTCTTTGCATTATCTATCCATGTTCTTTGTCAGGACACATATGTTGCGATTATCTGCTCCCTCTGTATGGCTTATCTTTTCACTATTAATGGCATCCTTTGAAGAAGAGAAATTCCTTTCTCAATTTTTTCCTTGTGGTCAGTGCTTTTCATGTCTTCCTATTCCTCTAGATTATGAAGATATTCTTACCTGTTTTTCTTCTAAAAGTTTTAGTGACAGTGACCTCTTTATTACATAGGTTCAACTGTTGTATGAGAATGGTATTGACCTTAATGTTTCATTATCTGCACAGTGTATTTGTCATTATTTCATAACTATTTGCTGGATTCATATGGATTTTAATAGCTATATTCATTCATATGTTGATCCATTCATTTATAATAAAATGTTTGTCTGCTATACATTATGCTTCCCCTGCTATAGATTGGAGGGAAGGCACAGTATTTGTCCTTAATGACAAATTTGTCAGTCATGTAGTGGAAGAGAGAAAATTAATTAAAATAGTTAAATGTATTCAAGTGTTATCAAGGAAAAGATAAATAGATCATTGGAACAGTATTGAGACCCCAGAAGTAAACCCTTATATTTATGAACAGGGTTTTTTTTTAAAGTGGCCTCCAGCTAAGGTGTGCACAGTGTGGGTATAGTATGACTGTGGATTAAAAAGGAACCACTAATGAATCGTTTATTTTTTTGGTGAAGGTGTTAAAGCATTTCAATGGGGAAAGCACAGTTTTTTTCAACAAATGATTGAGTATTTAAATGTTAAAAGTTAAGTTAGACCCTTATATACCATACACTAAAGTTAATGAGATTTATTTTATACCCTTAGAAGAGCTATAGGCAAAAAGGTAGACAATAACAAGTATTGGTGAGGATATGGTGCACCAGGGATCCTCATATATTGGTGTGTATACTAGATAGTATAGCTGCTTTAGGAAACAATTCGGCAGTTTCTTAAAAAGTTGAACAGCTTTGTTATATGACCCAGTAGTTCCACTTTTACAAATTTACTCAAGAGAAATGAAAACATACGCATACAGAATCTGTTCACAAATGTTCTTGGTAGCAGTATACTACCTAAAACTGGAAACAAAACGTCCAATGAATGGGTAAATAAAATGCCATATATCTGTATGATGTACTATTTTTTGGCAATAAAAAAATAAAGTACGATGTACACTACAAAGTGCACAAACCTCAGAAACATTATGCTGAGTGGAAGAAGCAAAATACTAACCATATATTATATGATTCCACTCATATGAACTGCCCAGGAAAGACAAATCTGAGGAGACAGGGCAGATTATTGGTTACCCGGAGCAGGGTCTGACTGCAAATAAGGCATAGGGGAGATTTCTTTGTGGTGATAGAAGTGTTCCAAAACTGGACTGTGATATTTGCACATTCTTTTAAATTTAATAAAAATTATTGAATTTACACTTAGAACTGGTGAATTCATGGTATATAAATTATACCTCAAAACTGTTTAGGAAATATTAAGAGTTATTCTGCTTTGTGTCTGGCTAATCATAAACAAAAGAATTTTTTTAAAATGTGAAAGCTAAGTAAATAAAGTGTTTAAATTCAGAGATTGGTGAAGGCAGAGAAAAAAGAATATGTACTGGTGACCTTAACTGGGAAGCAGCATGATAGAAAAAGTGAAAATAAAACCAGTGTATTCAAGTGCCAGGAGGAAAGAGGAAACATCATGAGAGGAGCCTGGAGAGGCAGGTGGAGGCCATCTGAAGTTTTCGGTCTTCATCTTAGAAGTATGAAGCCTTTGAAGGAGTAAGCTCTGGCAAGAATAAATATGCCTTCCTTCTTGGCTAGGTTTTTCTTGGATTCATTTGCTTGCAAAGAGAAAGGACATAGAATGGCCCCCTATTTTAAAGGGTGTCATTTTTCAGATGCATTGCCATACCATGCTCTGTACTGGAATTCTTTGCAAGGTCTGAGTAGTTACTGATTCATGAGCTGGCATGGCTATCTTGGAGGGAGTGAACTTCAGGATATTTCCTGCAGTATTGTTGAAGTTACAACTCTGTGACTCCTGCCAAGTGAGATAAAAATCACAGATTTGTGGTGGCATCCAAACTTTATTCTGTCTTAATTTGGGGCAAATTTTTCTGTTATTTTATTTCTTATATATATGTAGTATACATATGTAGCTCATATTTCAAATGAGGAAGTAGAATTTCTAAACAACAAACCTTAAGAAAGAGATTTGCATCTTCCCTCAGTGAAGATGAGGAGGAATATAAAGAACTCTGAAGTACCTACTGGAAAGTTTTCAGTAATTTTTCCCTCTCATGGTAAGCAGTAGGATTGACCCAGAAAACTTAACCCTGAGTACTATGTGGAGTGGTTTGGAAGCCTACGTTTCTGGATGGAGGATGATGCTATTTATTGAGAACAGAGAATACTGGAAAAGATCCAGGCTTGAAGGAAATATATTGAGGTAGATTTTGAACATGTTTGAGTTTTCTGTTACATGTACAAGTTGACATTTCAAGTAGACAGCCAGGTAGGTAAACAGTTCTTCAGCTCAGAGGAAAGACTTGATTTATAGGTATTAATTAGAATCTTGTACATATTGGAATTAGTAAAAGGCTTAGGTATGGTAAATAAAATATTTGAGAGAAAGCAATTAGGCTATAAACTAATATCTAATAAGGTTCTGGGTTTCCATTGGTGACTTAACTAAAATGTTGACAGACCTTAAGTCAATTGGTGGTATTACAGTTTTTTTTTTTTTTTTGGTATCTTACATTTTATCCTTCAAACACATGTACAAATGAAAGATTTGGTTGGCATTTTGTCTGTCAGAATAAAATTCAAAAGAAATAACTAGAACACCATGATCCAAATTGTAGTTAAAAGTGAGATAGAATATGGATAAACTTCTGAATTCCAAATAATATCTTAAATATACAAAAAAGTTCTTAGGAATAGAGTGTATCAATATGTAGACATAATACAATATTAGACACAATAAATAAGTTAATTTTCATCAAATGTGATCAATGCACAAAAGTGAACATGAAGCTAATAGAATTAGTAAGATAGAGCTAATAAACCTATACTTCTGAAGTCTACATTTAAGATAGCGATTATACTTTTGTTGGTTTTGTAAGTATAAAACCTTAGGCAACAGACAGAATTTCCCAAATCTCCGAGTAGCATTACTTAATTTCTAATGATTTATGATATTAGTAGGATAAACTTTGTTATGTATTTCATATTGATTCCATATACTTACTACTGTGTGTGTATTTACTCATTTATTTACTTTTTCACTTAAATAGTTCAGAAACTATTGCCAGATGTTGGTACATCTTGCTTTCTGGATCCGTGCTTATGAAAGACTCCATGGTCTTGCCTCCTTGCAGGTATGTTTGTTTACGTTTGCTGCTTGGTGCATATGGCAGGCAAACCTAACCTTACAACTATTTATTTTATCTCTTATGTTCAACTATTTTATGTAGGGTGTGTATTTTCTCCCAGTAGATGATATATTCTATAAATATCTTTGCTTGTTGGTACTATTGGAAATACTTGTCAGGAATCAACTGATATTTCATATTTCTGAGGATGTAATCTTTACATTTATACTGTAACATAGTATCTTACTCCTGCTTGAACTTCAGTTTTATGTGGGATTTGATCTCATTTATCTGATGGTCTTGGATTTATTGCCATTAAAGGTCATAGAAAGACAGTACATATTGATAGTTAAGAAACTGGTTTTTAGAGTAAGGCAAACTAGGTTAGAATGCTGATTTTATCATTTATTAGTCTTTGACTTAAGATAAATTTTAGTATTCTTGTCTGTCAAATGAGACTAATAATAGTACTTAAGTGTTAAGTGTCTTTACAAAGTTTTAGCAAGTTTGTCAAAGTTTAACAAGTTACTACTCAAAACTCTCAACAGAAGTCTGTAAAAGCTGACACCCTAGGGTCAGACTGTACTTACTAGTTCATGTCTGCTCTACTACTTCTTAAGCAAATTATTTAATCCCTTTGTGCCTCAGCTTCCCCATCTGTAAAATGAAGACAATAATAGAACCTATTTCATAGGCTAGTTTTGAGGAATAAATGAGTTAATACATGTAAAGCTCTTAGAATAGTGCCTGACAAAGTAATTATTAATTATCACCATCATAATCATTAAGTAAAAGAAGAGAGGGCAGTTAGAAACGTGGTCAGATGTATTCTTGGGGAATTTGGTCTATTAGCAGTTTTTCATATTTTAGGGCCTCAAGGTAAAATTTGGTGAGATTAAAGTTCATTTTTCAGTGACTTTTTCCCAATGAGAAGAGATTTTTAGGTTTTTAAAATAAGACTTTTAATTGTAGCTAAACTAATTTAGTTGGAAAACTACTCAATTTAAGTATCAAAGTACATTCTGTGATACATAGTATGTGATACCTCAGTTTTTACACCATTTTTACAATTACGTCATGAGTCCTAAAATGTTACATCATTAGCCTTTGGTTAAATTAAATCTGTGCTTCTTCACTAGTAGAATAAAACTTCATCAGCTGTTTTTGCAAATAAAATATAAAGTAATTCTTGGTTTTTACATTTTGTCCATTGGTGCTTTCCCCTGTTTTCTGAAACTCACATTAATGATAATGTAATGGATTAGCCACTGAGGCAGAATAAGCTGGGTTGGAATTGGCTACAGTTATGTTTTAGGGTTATTAATATTGTCTTTTAATATCTCCTCACTCTCACTTCTTGATCAAGGACCTGTTGTAAGAACTTTCTGTAGCCGTTAATCAGCCACAATAATTCACTGTTAGTTTGTGACCAAGACAATGAAGTTTAACTTTTTAAATAATTGATAGAAACGTGTGAGATTTTTGAACAACAGAGGCATAGTTTGCATTAATGTAACATTAATGAACTTCACAGCAAACTTGATTACAGAAGTTCATTTAATTGTTAAAGAAGAAATCTGGGTAGGTGATTTATATTTTTCATTTGAAAGATACTTGTAGTAGGTCATCATAAGGTGATTATTAGGATTAAATGAGTTAATAAAACAAACCACCTACAGTAATGCCTAGCATACATTAAGTAGCAAATTTTGGCTTCTATTATTATTATAGCATAATAGCATGGAGATATGATCAGTATGATGCCAATGGAAATGAGTACTACCTTGTATAGGAAAAGGAGTAAAAGTAGTATTCTAGTTTATAAAAAGATAGCCTATTTCTCTAGCTCTTAAGATATATTTCTCCTTGTATTTACAGGAGACAGAAGCCACGTACTAATTTGGACAGGGACAGTTTAATTTAAAGATTTATTAACTACTCAAGGAATTAGGTGCTAAGGATAAAGAAACTAAAGGAGAGTACCCAAGGAAGGAGCAAAGGGGGAACCCTCATCGCCCCCAAACCGGAAGTTCAGACCTTGCTGGAGACTAGGTTAGTTGTAGCCCAGTAGGTGGTGCGTTGTCCGGGGCCAGGGGTGGTCATTTCATTGAGTCAAGGCTGGCAGGAAGGGAACTGCTGACCAGGACTGGCAACCCGGAGGCTCCCTGACACAGCAGGGGTGCAGATGAATCCTGAGACTGAGGACAGGCCTTCACATACACACACACAGCAAAGACTTCCCTACTTCAGTGTCCCTCTACTAGCACCCTCTACCGAGAGAGTTTTAACATTTCCTATTGGCAGAATAATGTTGACTAAATCCAGATCCTTTATTACAAAGTAGATTTGAAACAGAGAAGCAGTAAATAACCAACACAATCCATTCCCTTGGCTGCTCAGCTTCCATATGAATGCTTCTAAACACATTTGAACTTCCATCCAGCAACAAAAGAGCCCCATTTCCACGTACCAAGGTACAGCTATCCTTCATACAAATGAAGAATTACTTAGCCTTTCTCTAAAATGTGGAGATGCACAGTCCCAGCAGTCATTACTGGCTGTGTTATGTGTTCCATGACAGTGCCTCTGAATATTCCGTTAGCTAGAGACTACCTTATAAAGGTCATCTCCGATAACTTCTTTATAAAATAAATGGGGGAGGGACGGAGGAAGAAAATATTAACATTCACACAAATACAGACACACATAAGCAAAGAGCCAATATAAAAGCTATTTTATTTTGTTTGCCTGATTATTAAGAGCTTTTACAGTGGATGCCCTTTGGGCATTCATACAGGACACAGGTATCTTCAGAGTTTTTGCCCAATCTGAAAGAGGTCCCTCCACATACTTCTCAGACTTCCTTGTTACCAGTCTTCTAATCCTATTCTTCTAAGTCCATGAACATTGAACCAAACCACTCAAACTACCCTAGAGTCTGTTTAGGTCAGTAATTCTGACCATCTCTTAATCCAGACAAATGGACAACCAGAGGTACTTCTAATGTTCTGTTCCCTTGGAGAATTCCTTCAAGGTCATCTCTGAATGGGGCTGCCCACTTCTGGGTGGTACCAACATGTGCTGTGCAAACTCACCTGTTAAACAGACTCAAGTTTTTTCTGTAACTTGTTCATAAGAACTCCCCAGGTGGGCACAGGTACAGATTGAGGTAGAGGAAGCAATGCACAGAGATTGGCATTAAAGGAGTCTGAGCTACCTACTCATGCAACTTATTCTTGACCTGGTAAACTTGGTCTTATATATACCATATTTATTTATAATAGATTGCTATTTCTCATGCCTACCATTATGGCTAGGTACTCATTCATGAAAGGAAGTTCAGGCTGCATAGTCACTTGATGTTCTGCGGTTAGATATTCAGCCTCTACCAAGGCCCAATAGCAAGGCAGAAATTGTGTCTTAAAAGTAGAACAGTTATTTGCAGGATAGGGCATAGAGGTTTCAGAAATTATAGAGGTCTGAACTGTCATTCTCTTATCAGTTCTTGTGAGAGACTCCATGGAGCATCCCTGTTTGCCATAGACAGCTAGGTTGTCAGTGGATATGCTGGATTATAAGGCCCAAGTAGTACAGAGGCTTACACTGCATCCTGAATTTGCTGGCAGCCTTGTGGGTAACTCTGAATATGGGTCAGACAGGACATTCAGAATATGTTACCTCCAGAATCCAAAAAAATTTAAGCATTGTACCTCTCTTTTTGAGATAGATGGTGTAAGGTACAGTAATTTGGATTTCACCTTGGTGGGGATTTCTCGTCATGCCCCAATTATAGAACTCCCAGAAATTTCACTGAGGGGGCAGGTCCTTTAGTTTTTTTGGGGTTTATCTCCTAAACTCCAGTTTGCATATATTTTAATAAGGCATCTAAAGTATACCTCCTTAGTTTATAATGAAATTTTATATGTAATTTAAACCAGTAAAATATTTTTTACAATTTACTATAAACAAAGTAGGTAAGTAATAAATCAACTCTGAAAGCTGAATATCTTATGAAATGAATTTAGAATTTAAAATTAAGTTCACTTTTCAGTTGTCACAGTAAAACCTCACTGTAGCTCAAGAAACTTCATTACATGTGCTTTTTACATAAGATTTAATGCATGTATTCTTTCATGCATTCATTTATGCAGCAAAAAAAGCATTGGTTAGTGCCACGTCTGTGTAAGACACTGGCATTAAGAGGAAAAAGACTGATTTGCTGTGGGTTGGAATGACTGAGGGAGGGAATAGGCATTAATTCATTTAGAAAAAACATTGAGTGCCTGCATGTGTCAGGAACTCTGCTAGTCATTGGGGCTGGGGAAGGCTACCACTTTTAAGAAGCATGGTAAATGCCATTGTCCATTTTCTAAAGACATATTATCTAAAATAACTTTTTTGACAAAGCAGTAAATTGGTACCATTCAAAAACCAGAATAGTATAACAAGTACTTTAAGTATTATTATTCCCACTTTTGTTGTCCACAGTATTCAACCCATCTCTATAGATAACCAAGGACATTTATTAATATCTTCGTAGTGTTTTTTATACATATGTGAAACAAAAACAAATGCATATTCTTACGTTTCCTATTTCTAGGCCAAATAGGAACATTGCTCTGTGCTTTAACTCTTTTATTGTGAAATATATGGAGAAAGGTGCAGATAACCTAAATGTACGTGTTAATGAATTACTATAAATTGAACATTTGTCTGATCACTGTCCATCTAATGAAATTGAACATTGTCAGCAACCTAGAATCAGCCTACATACTGTTCTCAAATCAACTTTTAATTCCCCCCCAAAGTCATCATTTCCCTAGATTTTAATCAGCCTTGAATACCTGTAGAGTTTTAGGCTGAGGATATATACGTCTAAACACTGTAGTTTGGTTTTCTTACTTTTGAACTTAATATGAATGTTATCAGACAGTATTTTTTTGTGTATGGTTTCTCTGGCCCAGTGTATGTTTATGAAATCTATCCATCTGTATGTAGTTACTTAC